TTTATCATTTTTCAAAACAGCTTTTTTAGACATATTAGTGAGGTTTTCCATCGTTAAGACTGAAATATTAAGGAGGACCAGAACTCAATAGGACGGACCTGAAAACCTGGAAAGCCCATGAACCATCTTCTTATGGGTCCTTGTGTGTAAAGGACCACTTTTGAGCTTCAGTATTTCTCTGAGATGAGCAGGAGACTTTGCCATCAGACCTTTAACTAATGGATTATTGCACTTCTTATAATACCAAAACCTCATCTGTTGACTGCAGCTGAAGTAATTCATTGCATGAAGTCATGGACATACAATGTGCAGCAGTTTGGGCAGGACCCCTGGGTGTAGGCACAACTTTGTATTCCCTGGATGAATTCCCAGCCCAGTGCTATGGGGATGCTAAGCTGAACGTCACCCTGACATTTATCTTAGGTTCAAGGTGTTGTGGTTTAAGCCCAGCTGGTAACTCAGAACCACGCAGCTGCTCGCTCACTCCCCTGCTTCTTCCTCCCCCTGCTCCTGGAGGGATGGGGAGGAGAATCGAAGGAATGTAACTCCCACGGGTTGAGATAACAGCTCTCCAGTAACTAAGGTATAATACAAACCGCTACTGCTACCAATAATAATGATAAGAGGAATAACAAGGGAAAAGGACACAACCGCTCACCACCCGCCGACCAATACCCAGCCCGACCCGAGCAGCGATCTGGGCCTTCCGGGTAACTCCCCCCAGTTTATATACTGGGCATGACGTGCTGTGGTGTGGAATAGCCCTTTGGCCAGTTTGGGTCAGGTGTCCTGCCTCTGCTTCCTCCTGGCTTCCCCTCCTCTCTGGCAAAGCATGAGACTGAGAAAGTCCTTGGTCAGAGTAAACATCACTGAGCAACAACTAAAAACATCGGTGTTATCAGCGTTGTTCCCAGGCTGAGAGTAAAAAACACAGCCCTGCACCAGCTACTAAGGAGGAGAAAAATGACTGCTGGAGCTGAAGCCAGGACACAAGGCTAATTTATTTTTTAAGGGACTGTTGGTTCTAAAAAGCAGTATTTAAAATAATATTTTATATCATAGAACGTCTTTGGGTGAATGGGCTTTTGGTGAATTATTTTTCAGTCCAGTAAAATAGCAATTTAATAAGGAACCACAACTATCAGTGCTTTGCTTTTCAGGGATTAGCAACACATCTTCAAAGGCGCATTTTAGCTCCTAACAAACACTTATAATTTGCATTTATCTTAGGAGAACACATTATGTATATTCTGACAGGCAGAGTTTAGCCTTTGATAAATTTTGCCACTCTTTTTTAAGTGTTTCAGTGATTTATTGGTAAATAGGAAGTCAGGGGATGGTTCCAACACAATCATTTTATCTGATCTCTGTCTAAACATTTACTAACTTCCCGAGCAGGAAAGTTACTCATCCTGTCTGAGGTGCAGTTTAGCATTAGTTAACATATATTACCATGATAACCCATTTACCTTCATCTGCAAGTTGCTGCAGTGGTTTCTTTCTCCCTCTATGGAGATGTGTTGTACACACTGTTGGTGCAGATAGCAGAAGCCCAGTCGTTTCACAAGGTTTCAATAAACCACCAGTGAAGTGTTTCATGCCTATCTGTCAATACCTTTTTTAACTACAGGGCATCACTGGAAATGCTGAATGTCTGCTTTGAAATCCCTTCTTTTCTAGCCTTCGGAATAGTTTTCTCCAAAAGTAATGCAAAGCTATGAGATTTGATAAGGAACTTTGATAAAATGCAATTTAGAAGACTATCAACCTGGGGAATTGTCTGCCTTATAGCCCACTTTGATCTTTGCTTGGTAGGGAAGAATGTTAATTCAGGTCTTTGTGATGTGTTTGGCAGCTTATTATAGCTCTGAACGTGTGCTGCTCTTCCACTTTGAGATACACTTTCTTCTAATATTGAATATTTTAATATTGAATACACTTTCTAATATTGAATATTAACAATTATTTAAATGCACAGACGATTTTTTTTCTCATTTATAGCAGGTTTTATTTATTTTTCAGTTAATTTTTGAATTCTAACCCTAAAACTCATCGAGGATTTGCCTTACTCCTGCTTGATGCTGGCATATGATTTTTTTTCTCATGCATCACAACCTGAGTAAGCCAAGAGATGCCCCATGGATGTTTGGCCATGAGTGTTAACCTTTTGACTCCAGGCTGCTTCACAAAGGGTACTTTCAGAACCAAGGTAGATTTCTATTTTTCTTGGAGGATTTTCCCAGAGTTTCTTTCTAATCCTTCCCTTCAAAGGCACCTGCACAGCCACGTACCTTGTTCCACACAGAATCACCAGGGTCTGATGCCCTCCAAGACCATTTCTATGCCATCAGGAGAGGATTATTCTGGAGTTAAAGCTTTATGCTCAAGCACCAGCTCAGCTTTCGTCTCTGTGGTGCCTCCCAGCACTCAAACGTAGGGGCCAGACTGTCTTAGTGACTCACAGGAAAAATAGACATGAGCTTGTCATGCTGTTTACAAGATAGGTCACTGGCCTGCAGATCCCTGGCTGGGTTTTTCATGTTCTGGTGGTTACACACAGAGGTCTGGAAGAGTTAATGTCATTAACGGCTTCTATTTAGGAAAAAAGCAGGGGGGAATCCCTAAAACAATTAATTTTGTGTCAGAAACCCTACGTCTGAGCACTCCCTGAATAAAAATTCACACATCTGAGCAGATGTCACTCCCAGTGCATAGGAATCACACAAAAGCCAGGCTCTGTGCTGGCCAGTCATGCTGTTGGATAGTATCTCATCTCAGGAGAGGTCTGCCCTGACTTACTGTGCGAGGGCTTGGGGCAGGTGGTGCCATTTCTGCTGGGGTGTTATTTCCAGTGCCCTCAGCTGCTCTTCTGTGCCCAGCTACAGGAGAACATACAAGGAACT